CATTGTTATCTGTTACTATGATTAGCTTCCATCTTACTGTGCTAACATGAACGTTATTCATTGTTATCTGTTACTATGATTAGCTTCCATCTTACTGTGCTAACATGAACGTTCTTCATTGTTATGTGTTAATATGATTAGCTTCCATCTTATTGTGCTAACATGAACGTTCTATATTGTTAAGTGTTAATATGATTAGCTTCCATCTTACTGTGCTAACATGAACGTTCTGTACTGTTAAGTGTTAATATGATTAGGTTTCATCTTACTGTGCTAACATGAACGTTCTTCATTGTTATGTGTTAATATGATTAGCTTCCATCTTACTGTGCTAACATGAACGTTCTATACTGTTAAGTGTTAATATGATTAGGTTCCATCTTACTGTGCTAACATGAACGTTCTTCATTGTTATGTGTTAATATGATTAGCTTTCATTTTACTGTGCTAACATGAACGTTCTTCATTGTTATGTGTTAATATGATTAGCTTTCATTTTACTGTGCTAACACGAACGTTCTTCATTGTTATGTGTTAATATGATTAGCTTTCATCTTACTGTGCTAACATGAACGTTCTTCATTGTTATGTGTTAATATGATTAGCTTCCATCTTACTGTGCTAACATGAACGTTCTTCATTGTTATGTGTTAATATGATTAGCTTCTATTTTACTGTGCTAACATGAACGTTCTTCATTGTTATGTGTTAATATGATTAGCTTTCAAATTACTGTGCTAATAAGAACGTTCTATATTGTTATGTGTTAGCACGATTAGCTTCCATCTTACTGCGCTAATAAGAACGTTCTTCGTTGTTATGTGTTAATATGATTAGCTTTCATCTTACTGTGCTAACAGAACGTTCTTCATTGTTATGTGTTAGCACGATTAGCTTCCATCTTACTGTGCTAATACGAACGTTCTTCATTGTTATGTGTTAGCACGATTAGTTTTCATCTTAAAACATATATATGATTAGTTTTCAGATTTATGTGTTCATGTGATGAACTTATAAGGTTATTTTAATGTTCAAGTGTTAATACGATTATTTTCAAATTTCATATTATCACGATTATCCGTTGCATTTACCTAAGCTTCTTTCATCTTTGTTGATTAGAATATCTGTCAAATGTTATTGCTTATGCTTTAATTAAATTGTGTCACGTGTTTAATACACAACTAAGCCTAGCAATAGTTCGTTGTTTCCGTTCTAACCTGTATTAATTCAATCTAGTGACATTTTCAACCAAAGACGCATTGCATTTCTCAAAGCCAGAATTAACAGAAATTAGCAAAAATTTTAAAAATTTAATAAATGTCCCCCTGGAAGTTAACGGTCATTTTATAAAGAAAAACAAAAAAGTACCCCGATTTCCTGCAGGATCCGCGAAAAGAAACAAAATGATAACGTGAATGTTTGAGTATCAACTAACCAATCATTTCATTTTAAATATTTTTGTTTTAAATCTGATATTCTCTAAAACTCTTGTGTTAGTCTTTCTAGTACACATTACTATTTGTTGTTATATAAACACAGGTTATCACTACTATTTATAGTTGACCTGGAATTTTTTGGACTATCAAATGTTTAAAAAACCATCTTACTGGTGGCTTTGTACTCAAAATTTACTTTCCTTCAGCATGTCTCCCATTTCTTCTTTGCACACATGTAATTGACGTGCTTGTAGGAGAGCGCTTACATAAAGCAATGAAACTCGTAAGCACCGCCATCTATTGAATAAAATGCGAATCAACATTACAGCCAAATGCCTTTAGATTGTTATTCCGTCGGTCTTGATTGAAAATGTATATAACTGAAACCTTAGAAACGTAATATTCAAGTGATGCTCTTAAACTAGATTTTTTTTGCCAGACGTCAAATATCCTTGATTTCGTGGCTTGCCGACTTTTCGGCTCTTTTTAACTCGTCTTCCTGATGAAGGCATAAAGAATAGGAACAAAAGCGTGACGAAAGACTGACACTTATCCACGTGAAAGGCACGTAGCTGACGTCGACTTCAAAGTCTTTTTTCCCCAGCTATTATATACCTTTAGCAAAAGATATTTTTTATGTTTGAGATTTAATAACGAATTTTTTCTACTTTCTTCGAGCTGTCTTGAGTATATCAAACTTTCTTTTCCGATTACTGAAATTTTTAAGTATGCGTAGTAGCATCCCATGAATGCCTAGCAGTATTTTGGGACACACACACACACAAAACTTATTAAAACAAAACACTATGCAAACCACCAAAAAAATTAAAAGTATTTAGAAATTCCACACATACAATCATTTATTGTTTGCCCATGTTTATATCTTTATTGCCCCCAGTAGCACAGCGGTGTGTCTGCGCACTTACAACGCTAGAAACCGGGTTTCGATACCCGTGGTTGGCAGAGCAGAGAAAGCCCATTGTGTAGCTTTGTGCTTAACTTCAAAACAAACGAACAAATTATGTCTTTATTAGCACGCTATATTTGTCTGTGACTCAGCATGAATTATTAAGAAAGAGCATGACGTTAATGTTTTAAAATTGAAATTTAATATTTTGCGTGACAACGTGTCTAGTTTACATCAACTAATTTGGTTTTTCAAATCATAATTGATTATGGAATGTGTAAGAAAGTTATAAAAAACTTTAAGCCTAAAAACCAAATCGGTTGACGTAACCTATAGCCTAGATTGTTCTAATGCAAAATATAACTTATTATTCTTTTAAAAATCATATTTGAGAATGAAACGCGCCCAAAAACTTGATTTTATCTAAATAGGAAAGGTTAGTTTGTTTTTGTTTTTACGTGATAACCGTCTAGGGTCAAGGTTACGTCAACTGATTTTATTTCTAGGGTTACAATTTTTCTAAACATCTAGAGTCTAGGCTACGTCAGCAAATTTGTTCTTTAATATTAAAGTCTTATAACTTTCTTACACGTTTCATTATCAATTATGATTGTTATCAACAGGTTATTTAAAATTTGTTGGTGAAAAGGTTGCTACTGCCTTACAAAAGGATTTGGATTACTTGATGAGTTGGGCGAGTAAGTTGCAGGTGGTTTTAATTATAATAAATGCAAGGTAATGCATGTGGCATAGTACAATTTGAATTATGAGTATAAATTTGATGGGAAGAAAAATATGTTGATGTTCTGATTTATCAGTATTTTAAGCCATCCAAGCAATGTGCTATTGCTAGTAGTAGGACAAATAGGATTTTAGGTTGTATCTGCAGAAATACTAAATACGAGTCTAAAGAGGTTATAATGTCATTGTATAAGTCATTTGTCAGGCCACATTGGAGTATCGTGTTCAGTATTAGGCTCCTTACTTTAGGAAGGACATTGAATTGTCGGAAAGGGTTCAGAGGAGGGCTACTAGAATGACACCCGTGGATGGAAAAGTTATCATATGAGGCTGAGTTAAGATCTCTGATGTTGTTAAAAGTAATCTGATTGAGGTGTTTAAGATTGTTAAAGGATGTAGATGCAACATCTTGTTTCATACTTACTGGTGGGAATGGTAAGAGTATTGGACACAGAAATGGTTGGCCTTTGGAACTGGTTGGCTTCCAATGTGATAGATGCAGCTATTTAAGAGAGTTCAAGGGAAAGCTTAGTAAATATTTGAATGATAAGTGCTGGCTTTGAATTTTTTAGAGAAGGGGTTAGTTTAAGTTAATGGATAGAATAAATCAGATGGACCAAAAGATCCCTTGTTGTCCTTTAATATTACGTTTTTGGCGTGACAGCCGTCTAGGGTCTAGGATACGTCATCCGATTTATTTTGAGAATTACAGTGTTTCTTTCTTCCACATTCCATTACCAGTTTTACATTCCACAGTATGCTGTAAAACAGGTGAGTTGTTATACATGGTAGAAATAGGATGTTCTGTAATCCTTTGCCGGAGACATTTGGTAATGGATCCATTGTTTGTAGAGAGGACATTTTGTAATGAACCCAATGTAGAGAGGACATTTGGTAATGAACCCAATGTAGAGAGGACATTTGGTAAAGGACCCAATGTAGAGAGGACATTTGGTAATGAACCCAATGAAGAGAGGACATTTGGTAATGAACCCAATGCAGAGAGGACATTTGGTAAAGGACCCAATGTAGAGAGGACATTTGGTAAAGGACCCAATGTAGAGAGGACATTTGGTAATGAACCCAATGTAGAGAGGATATTTGGTAATAAACCCAATGTAGAGAGGACATTTGGTAATGAACCCAATGTAGAGAGGACATTTGGTAATGAACCCAATGTAGAGAGGACATTTGGTAAAGGACCGATTGTAGAGAGGACATTTGGTAATGAACCCAATGTAGAGAGGACATTTGGTAATGAACCCAATGTAGAGAGGACATTTCTATTTATAGACGACAAAGAATTATTGCACTTCATTAATTTTTGTTCTTGGATGGGAAATAGTTTCTTAGACGAAACATCTTCTTATAGACACATCTAAGGTGTATTTCAAGATATGCTTTATTATTGAATTTCTTTATTTTAGACCTTGATAACAAGGATATATTACTCAGATAAGGGACTGAGATAGTTGTCAAAAACCTATCAACAATTTGAGTTGGAGAAGTATTATTAACATTATTTAGTTTCCTCAGCACTTTTTTGATATTTTTGTCAATAATAATAAAAGGAAAATCATTATTTTCATGAACCTAACTAATGTTTGATAATTCAAGTTTAAAGTTACAAAAACTTAGCCTAATTCTTTTTGTGATATAAAACAAAAGTGGCATCAGCATAAAGGTTGAACTTGGCCAACCACTGCCTTTCATAATGAGTTAGGAAGTTTGCTAGTGTTTGGCCAAGGCCCATGGCTACTCCATCTATCCCATCATAGTTGAACTTGGCCAACCACTGCCTTTCATAATGAGTTAGGAAGTTTGCTAGTGTTTGGCCAAGGCCCATGACTACTCCATCTATCCCATCATAGTTGAACTTGGCCAGCCACTGCCTCTCATAATGAGTTAGGAAGTTTGCTAGTGTTTGGACAAGGCCCATGGCTACTCCATCTATCCCATCATAGATATTATGATGGAAAATATAGTGGGAATATTCTAGTATTTTATTTGAATATATCTTTTTTGAATAGCCTGGATAAGTCAGTGATCTCGGTAGATAAGGTTTGTTGCTAGGTTACTAGTTTCCTTTAGTGGATAATTTGTAAATGTTGATCCAACAGCAAAGCTTGCCATGAAAACAGTCAGGAAAGTTGATTTCTCTAATTTCTTTAGAAAACTAAAACTGTAATATACTATATATTATACAGAAGAGAAACAAAGAGTTCACGTTGTTAATTTGCCATTAAAAGTATCAGTAGTGGAAGCAGTAGGTCTCATAGATATATTTGCTCTATGGATCTTCAGTAATCCATAAAGTATACCATGGTGACAGCTTACAGGACGCAGATCATTATAAATATATCCGTAAATAATGTTAAATTTCTTTAAGTTTAGTAATAAACTTGGCTTTTCTAATGGAAGTGTAAGCATTGTTAAGTTTCCGAAATTTAGTTGGTTCAACAATAATGTGTTCAACTTTATATATATATATATAATCCTGTCCAACAATGCAATCCCATTACTTTTGTCAGGCTTAGCAATGGCTACATCGTTATTACGTTATATTTGTTTTAAAGCACACAACTTATCCTTGCTGAGAAGATAGAGTTTCTTCTGTTGACTGTACTTAATGGGAGCATCAAGAGCAGATGTGCTGATATAAGTTCTCATGATAGATTACCTTTGGCCTAAATTGATTCTTTGTTCATCTTGTGTAAAATTATCTCAAAAAGGGGTAAGGAAATTAACTGAAAGTGATAAAACAAAGGATAAGCCTTTAATTGAAATTTATTTTCAATATCATTGACCTGATAAATTGACATATTATAGTAATAGTGTTATTTGAATCTATATAAATATAATTGTACTGACTGTTGTATGTCCCCGTAACTACTTCGCAGGGTGTGGATGGATCTTCACCAAAAATTGGTATGGAGGTTCATTGGGCCCATGAGGAGATACATACAAATTTGTGGTTTCACATTTTGATTCACAATTTTATGGGCGTTTTTTACAATTACGTATAAGGGAAGCAACTTTTCATGTTCTAAGATAACCTTTCTTTAATCATGAATTTACACAACTTCCGTCTAGGCGACGGGTTCCCTAGCTAGTTTTGTAATGAAATAACACTTTAGATTGTTGTACCAGGTAGATGTAGATTTTATAGTCATTTTACTTTTATAACTTTTTAAAAAATTTGTTTTGTGTTTCCAAATAATTTATAATATGTACATAATCTGGTCATGTGAAAAAGTTCATAATAAAAACTATGTTGTTGATCATAGGAGGGTGTCTTTTGTTTTCTAATTGTAGTTTTAATATCAGCCTGAAATAGAAACCATTCAACTAACTTATAAGCTTGGCTAGAAATTAGCTCTTTATTAGAAAGTTTAATTATTATGAAACTAGGTACAAGGTTAAAGGTTACAGTTTTTAAGGAACTTTATGTCTAGTGATTTTTTGTGATATTTCAAGTGTACCTTATCATACATCTCGAAAACCTTCAAACATGTATACCAACTGAAACAAAGCGACATATGTAGGGAATCTAAGACTAATTATCAAATGACCCACGTGTGACGTAACATACTTAACGAATATCGTCCCGATGTTAAAATGCTGTAATGCTTTTAATTTTTCGAAATAATGTTCTGCTACTAATATCGTAAATGGTGTTTTACATTAAATTAGTGTGACAACAAAATTCACAATGTCCAGAACAATAGTAGACTTTCATATATACTAAAAACATAACAATGATCTACGATACCAGGTATACCACATGTTACACACATACATAAGACACTTCAGTGTACACAGGTATACCACATGTTACACACACATACATAAGACACTTCAGTGTAAACAAGGTATACCACATGTTACACACATACATAACATAATTCAGTGTATACAGGTATACAACATGTTACACACATACATAAGACACTTCAGTGTACACAGCTATACCACATGTTACACACATACATAGCATACTTCAGTGTACACAGGTATACCACGTGTTACACACATACATAAGACACATCAGTGTACACAGGTATACAACATGTTACACACATACATAAGACACTTCAGTGTACACAGCTATACCACGTGTTACACACATACATAAGACACTTCAGTGTACACAGGTATACCACATGTTACACACATACATAACATAATTCAGTGTATACAGATATACTACATGTTACACACACATATATAAGACACTTCAGTGTACAAAGGTATACCACATGTTACACACATACATAAGACACTTCCGTGTACACAGGTATACCACATGTTACACACATACATAAGACACATCAGTGTACACAGCTATACCACGTGTTACACACATACATAAGACACTTCAGTGTACACAGGTATACCACATGTTTCACACATAATAACATAATTCAGTGTATACAGGTATACC